CCGTCGAAATTTGATCCCCGGGGAACTACAGGGTGAAATTAAAAAAACAATGGGTGAAGGAAAGTACAGTTCGAATTTTGATGGAAAAAATATTTAGTTAAAATATAAGTTATTCAATGCAGTTTGTTATGCTGATTCCGAATAACATGTTTATTTCACACAAGAATCGACTGTTGATAGTCGAAATACAATACTGAAAGAGAAAGATTGATTTGAAAGTCGATTGAAATTTCTCAATGTAAGACTATTTTGAATATCATGCACTTAATGAACTTGTAGCTTGTCAAAAGTTTTATAAAACTGTATGCAAGAAAAAACTTTTACAAATAATTTCGATTGATACCAAAGAGCACAATATATATCATTCGACATGCCTCGGCAACATGATATATTGTTTTTTTCTCATTTCTAAATAGATTATCTAATCCGATAGAATGCTTTATATAAATAATATATTACCAGCATTAATTGGACAAAGAACAAGACATGTTCGAACATTGGTTATTTTATCATAATTAAAAATTGTATGAATAAAACTAATAACTTGTAAAGTTTTTCCTAAACCCATACAATGTGCTAATATACAACCATTTCCTTGTTTTTTATTTTCAATTGCATCAATTGATTCAAATACATTATTCCATAAAAATCTTATTCCATCACATTGATGTGGTTTTAATTGTTGAACTAATTTTAATGAAACTTCAATTAATGGTTCATTTGTTATTTTATCTAATTCAAGTATTAAACGACGATTTGAATTATTTATTTGTTCATTTTCTTTATTTATTATATATGTTGATTTTTCAAGTAAATTATCATTATATTCTTTTTGTTTTTCTGCAATACGTTTTCGACGTTCTAATTCAATTTCAACAGCTTGTTTAGTTTGAATATCTAATTCTTTATCATCAATTATTTTTCGAATATTTTTTCTACCATTATGACCTTGTTTTCGTTTTGTTGGAGAACTATTTTCTTCTTCATCTTCATCATATTCATATTCATTTTTAATATTACTATTTTTCTTATTATGATTATCTTCATTATCATTTTCAACTTCATAACTTTCAGTTGTTTCACCATCATCAATATCATTATTAGTAGTTGTTTTTGTATTATGATTTTGATCATCATTATTATTAGTATTATTATCATCATCATCATCATCACTAAATTGAAATGAACATTTTTTTGTACCATTTACACTATTTCCACTATCATTATGACTAGTATTATTATTATTATCAGTAATAGTTGTAGTAGTAGGTGGTGGTGTTGTTGTTGTTGTTGTAAGTGAACTTTTCTTTTCTTGTGTTTTACGTTTCATTTGTTTTAAAATATTTGAACGTTCAGTTGAAACAGTTGGTTTTTTACGTCGTTGTCTAGTACGTTTTGTTACAATTTCATCACTACCATTTGAAGCATCTGATGATGCTGATGATGACGATGATGAACGTTGAATTTGAATACGACCTGATGGTTGTGGTGGTGGTGGTGGTGTAGGTGTAGGTGTTGATGGAGATGTTTCAATAGGTTTTGATAATGGTACTGATGTATGCTGTTTTGAAGTAGAAACATTTCGACGAGTTGTTGAAGACTATAATATGAGAATACTATTCTAAGAATCTGTTCAGTCATAATTAGTTTTTAATCACAATCAAATAAATTTAACAAAGAAATAAATCGAACTAATACTTAAATCAAAATTTTTATAATATTCGAATTAACGAGAAAACATCTTCAGGTATCAAATCGTTTTTCGATCGGATGATATTTATTTGATGAATGCTTTTGATTAAGAGAAAAGTCTAGAATGATTTGGTTTTTCAGATCTTTGCTCTTGAGATATCAAAATTTTAGTGGACTTTTTCTCTCTTAGATCATGTGGAAAATCGACTTTCGAGTTTTGACTTCAAAGTTTGCAGGAATAATGTTCCATATTCGAAATTCTCTCATGTGTAAAAGCCAATTTTGTTTATATCTTTACATCTTCACAAAAGAAATAATAGAAAAGTTAAAAATTGCACAATCAAGTAACCTTTTTTGTTTGAAGTCAAAACTTGAAAGTCGATTTTACATGTGATTTGAAGGAGAAAAATCCAATAAAATTTCGATATTTCAAGAACAAAGATCTGGAAAATTAAACCATTCTAGACTTTTCTATTATTCACTATTACTCATCAAATAAACATCGTCTCGGTTGAAAAGCAATGTAACATCTGGAAAAGTTTCTATTATACGTAAAACATTTAGATTCTTATATCTATATTTGTAAATGTCGAGTTTATAAGAGACTAAGAATAAGTTATGAAAAACATTTTATTAATGATTCTTATAATTCGAATAATAAAATTTTTTCTACTAATTGAATACTATCGTCTCCTATCGAAACATCAGACAAAGCTCACAAGGAAAGGTCCCTAAGTGTTACGTATCGTTTTGAATCCAATATATATATCAGTTTCTAGAGCTCGATAAGACTATAAGAAGTCTAAAACGGTTCATCTTCATTCGTGGTTCTAGAGTACGGGACTATAATTGAACACACACATCTTTACTTGCTACAGGTTGAAAACTCAGTAAAACAATTATAATTCGAGAAGAACAGCATTTAGAAACGAATTATGTTACAAATCTAATCATATCGAGTTCTAGGAACTAATAGATTCAAAACGTACGCATCAAAATCTGAAGACTTTCCTCTTCCTCACTTCCAAAAAAAAATAAATAGTTTGTTATACAAGAACTATACGAAGTATTAAATTAGATTATGTGATTTTTTTTTTCTATGTCTTAAAAAATCATGTTCAATTATCTGTATTCATTTAAAATAAAACTAAATAAATAAAATCATACCACTGGAATATCTAGATCATCACTTGATGATGATGACGATGAATGTGTAAAGCTTCGTTTTAATGCAATTTTAGTTTTCTTTTTTATAGGTGATGTATCAGAATTTGATGATGATTGTAATGAACGTTTTGAATGATTCAAAGACATTAATATAATTAATTGGACGAGAAATTTTTTGATGGCCTGAAATACAAAAAAAAATAAATAAATAAATAAATACAAAATTCATCTTATTATATAAAACTTCAATGATATTTTAATAAATGAATTTTTTATTATTTCAATTATTTTATACATGATAAGAAAAAGAAAAACAAGAAATGAACAATAATGAAATAACTTTTTTTTTTCTTCTTTTTTTCTGATTTCTTTTCAATAAACATGATATAAATATTCATTTGAATGTTTACATTTTTTTTTTTATGAAAAGAAAAAGCGAACTGAAAGCCCATTGAATAATGAACACGAGTAATATACTACACAGAACAAATGCAATAAGTAAAGTTATATGCAAGATAAAACAAACAATTGGTTTTGATAAAACGAAAAAAAAAAAAAAGACGAAAAAGAAAACTTTCATTAAGTAGTAAAAAAAAAAAAAAAACAGAAAAGTGAACATGCAACTGTTTCTTTTTTTTTTTGAAATATTATGTTGTTAAAGTAAGATGAGATAAACTATTCGATGATAATGTTGTTGAAGGAAGATCGACAGCATCGTTTGATATATCTTCGATACAATCAGTATAATTAATAAATGAATTTATATTTAATGTTGAATTTGTTTCATATGTTCTATCAGGTGTTATATTAAGTGAATCAAATAATGATTGTTGATCATTTTCTGTTATATCTTGTAATATTTCTTCATGATGTATTTGACCGATATCTTCGATTAAAGTTAATATTTCACATGGAGATGATTCATTTGATTTTGTATTAACACTATGATCATTTGAATGATTAGATGATTTTTTAGTTAATTTTTTTTTTTTTTTTGATTTTTTTGATTGTTTTATTGTTTTATCATTTTCAATATTTATTGTTGTTTCATTTATTTTACGTGTTTGAGATAATATACCATTTTGTCCTATGTAACGTGATACTTGTTCACATTCAGTGTCACCACCATTAATAACATCTGTTTGAGATAAATTTCCCAATGTACATAGATCATCATCTTCACCATCCATTGCACGTAATTTTCTTTTTTTCTTTTTATTATTATTATTATTAACTGATTGTGTACTTGCAATAGATGATGTTGATGGATGTTCGACAATTGTTTTTGATCGAATTGTTTTTTGTTTAATTTTTGAATTATTTATAGCTAAAGAAAAAAATAATAAATTGAATAACAAGTAATTTAGAATATGAAGAGAAATGATAAATTCTACTTTTTTACCAAAAGATAACAAAAAAAAAAATATCGACTTATTCAAACATCAAAACAATAAAAATTATTATTTAAAGTTAAAAAAAAACAGGAAAATCTTAATGAAAAAATTAACTAGAATCATGCATATGTATTTTTTTTTTGGAAGTGTGAATGTTGCATGTAGATAGGTAAAAATGAAAAGAACGCACTCACTCACACGTACATCTACATTTTCACTATACCTGATTAATTGACTGATAAGTATTATCTTTGTTTTTATTTTCTACACTTTTGACATTAGTACTCAACAAAAACATTGATGGAAAAAAAAAATGAAATTTGTAAAAAGAATACTTTCAATGGAAAATGAGTTGACTGTAAAATGGTCGCGAAAGAAGAAATATCAACGTGAATAATACAGCCTATTGAGTCCAAAAAGTTTCAAACTTGGACTGGATAGGCTCTAGTGCTTGAGAAAATTCCCACTGGCCAAATATGTGTTTTATTGTATGGAATAATATTAACATTCTAACCGAGATCAAATATAAGTCAAGACATAAAAAAGAAAAAAAAATATAAAATATAACTTTTTTTTTTCGTTGAGCAACTGTAGATGATACAGCATATAACCGTTCTAATATCATTCACTAGAGATTGTCTATACGATGTTGAATTATAATGAAATAGCTGGTAATTGTAGATCGCTTAAATCTAGTGAAGATGAAGTAGTTACAGCCATGACAATAGAATTTTAGTTGTATAACAGTTCTTTGACTATTTTAGTTAATCTATATTAGGTATGATACTCATCACCATTACTACTGATTTTTCTAGCACATCGAAAAATGCATAACAGATTTCTTACCCTAAATTTTTATTGCAAAAGTTTTATTCTAAAAATTACCAAATGGCACATCATTTGATACAGCTTTTTCATGCTGATTTCAAATATGTGTTTGTTTTTCTCTAAAAATAGTTCTGAGATTAAAAAAAAAAAATGTGAAAAAACAAAATATTTTAAAGAAAACCTATGTTTCAATCTAGAAGCATTTATGCTAATTAAGTAAATGTATCAGACAGAGAAAAACATTCTGTGAAAGTTTCATTGTATTTTAAGCTGTGCTAAAGTGTGCACGCCGACTACACTGAACATGTCAAGTTTTGATTGAGAGAGTATACTTACTTTGTCCAGCAGGAAAACTGTTAGAACAAAGTTTTTCATATAGAACGATAGAACAAAAATTGTACGATCTGTTCCGTAGATCTTTCTTCTAAGATGACAAGAACCTGGCCATTTTTCCATTCTAAGATGAAACAAACTCGTCTTCGGATACACCAACAAATAGGATAGTCGTCCGGAAGGTACGATTTTACCTTTTTTTTTTTTGCGATTTTTGGTATTTCATGACTAACGCACTCTACATATTTCTCAAACGCCGAGACCCTCTCGAAGTCAAAATTTTCAGGGCCGAACGCGGCGAGCTATTCTTTCATTGCTGTTGCCAGTAGTAGTATATGGATCGCAAGACTTGTCATCGACTTCATTATTTCCATTTGATTAGTTTTAATCATACATAGAATATAAAATGAAAAGTATAAGTAGTTTTATTTTCCTCCGAATGAAAAACTAAACAAAATTTGTTGAAGAATCTAGAATAGAAAATTTTAAGAGTTTATATGATGATTATTTTCACTTCTCTTATCCTAAAGGTCACAACATACCTTTTCTTCTTAGAGAAAAAGAAACGATAAATATTTCTCAAAACCAAAAAACAACGTAATTTCGTCAATAATAAACAGAAACAGTTGTATACATAAGCTTAATAGAAAGTAAGCATACTCTCGAAAGACAATAGATCAGAAGAAAAGAAAGAAATTATAACATTACTGTATATTAGCATGAAAAACCAGAAAGCATTTGAAAAGAAACTATGTGAGAAAAAAAGAAAAGATAAGTGCGATATTAAAACTAGGCGTCACCTATGACCTATATCCCCTTATAAAAATAACAGTTTAATGTAAACAAAAGATATTTTTTCTCTATTGAAAAAAACAAGTAGGATAAATTACGTCTTATTGTTCTCAAAAGATTAAAAGGGTATTGCGCTGCAATTATTCGAATGACATTTTTCTTCACATCTACTTATAGTGAACATATTCGCTAAATCACTTGTACTACACCTATTATAAAAAAAACTTGACTAATGCAATTGATCAATATCCTCTACTAGAACAATTGTGATGACAAGCTGACAGATCTTGATGACAAGAAGGCAATTTAATTATTCATTGTCTAAGTCGATCAAAACGATTTGTTTCACACTTTAATATGTTTATATTGGCTAGAAGATGGATGTTACAGAGGATTCATTTGTATCGTTAGTTAAAAAGAAATTTCTATATTTTGTAGAATATTTTGAAAGTTCCTAGTAGTTCACTTTCTCCTTCTTTTTCTTTATATAACCTATCGTTTGCGCTCATATTAGATCGACAAGAAGGTCTTGATTAGACAAGAAAAATATCTATACAGGTTCGTCTCCATGAATCTTCAGAGGTGAATTATGACGGTTTTACTGAATTTTCGATCTGAAATTTCAGTCATAGGTAGTTATAATGACCTTTAGAATAATCTGAAAGTTTCAGCAGAAAAAAATATGTTTCCTCGTCAAGATATTGAACTTTCAGGTTATTTTAAAAAGTTATTAGATCTAACTATAAATGAAATTTCAGTTCGAAATTTCATTATTAAAAATTTTCCAGTAAATATATAAAAAATCAATTGAAAATTTCGTAAAAACAGTCATAAATCGGCTCCAAAGATCCATAGGAATCAATTCTTTTAGGCTTTTTCTAGTCTTATCAAAATCTTCTTATGGACTCAATATGAGCTCAAACGACAGGATATAGTTTTCTTGTAAGTCAAATATTTTATGTAGTAAATATTTCTATTTTAAATTTAATTATAAAGTATTTTGTGACCTGTTTGAAAGAAAGCGGAAGTTCTGATCATTACCTTCCTGTTATGTTCAACTAACCGTATTTTTTCCTTTTCCGATTTAAAAATAACTGAAGAACTATTAAAATACTCTATACATCTTCTTTTTTATCGTTAAAATCAAAAAAAAGTCAAATCTTAGTCCTGCATATTTTCTATTTTCTAAATGATTTTATCAATGACATAGTCTATAAGAATAAAATATTGCATGTATATAAATTCAAATTTATTTCGTATTATGTCGTTTATATATATATATATGTTCTATAATACATGACTGGTTAAATAAAGAAATTTATATGGCTTTTACTTTTTAATTTTATTTCTAATATGTAAATCTCTTCAAACATATTGGCTTCATAGTTATTTTATTCGAAAGAAAATTTCGACGTAACTCAGTTTATCAAAAAAACAATGTTATAAATACTGACTTCATAATAAAAAAACAAGAATTTTTTGCATCTAATCTTAGTATCTAATTATAAAACATGTTAAAGAATAAAATACGAATCAAACTATTATTTAATTCTTGTAGAACATTGATTTTTTATATTCCAAAAAAAAAAAATAAAAATTCAATGTAATAACTTATAGCTAGAAATATAAATTAATCTTTATACATACTTTCATCGGGTGTAGATGTTGATACAAATGTTTTATTTGTTTGAGCATCTTTCTTCGCTTTTTTTCCAGTGAAAATAAATTTCGAAAAAATTATTTTTCGTTTTTTTCTACCAGGTTTTGATTTTGCTTGAAAAATAGCGAAAAAAAAAATTTTATTTAAAAAAAAAAAAAACAACAACATTCTTTCATTATCTTACTACTTGTTTTCCATGATAATGGTAAAAAACGTTCAGCTTCAGCTAATGAAATACGTTTTAAACGAATAGCTGGTCGAGAATAATTTTCTTGTTTTTTATTATCAACATCATGTTTATCCGAAGATATACATAAGAAATTTTCCGATTGTTGTTGTTGTTGTGTTGAAAGATCAAATTGTCTTATATCACTTGAATTAGTACATTGATAGTTATTTTCAATTGATGAATCATTTTCAACTTGATTATTTTCTATTAATAGAAAATTAATTATTTTTTTTTTTTTTTGTATAAAAAAAAAAGTTTGAATATTTACGAATTAATAATTGTTCAAATTCATTAATTTGATTTGTTATTAATTGTAATAAATGAGTATCATTTGAAATATGTTGAGGTAACCAATTAAATTTAAATTCTTTTAACCATTTTAATATATTATTTTCATTCATTATCATATCCCTACAATTGGGAAAAAAGAAAAAAAAAAATATATATATATATATATAAATTTCGAATTGATATGAATCAAATTTGAAGAAAAATCCTACTCATTTATATAAATAAATATATTGGAAAAAATATGACAGAACTCAAAATATGATTAGTTCGTTTTTTTTTTTCTGTCGTTTATCTTTCTTTGTCTACTTGTTTTAACCAGCGAGTGAATAAGTTGATATATATTTTTTTTTGTCGTGATTACAATCATCCATTCAATCAATTTAAAGAAACAGCAATGAATTATTTACGCCAATCAGAATAACTATACACTAGAGGTCATCAAGTGATGTCCATGTTTTTCTTTTGTTTTTATTTTTGGGAATTATTTGATTGATGAAATTTAAATACTTTTTGTTTTACATGAAAATCTTTATGTATCATTAAATGTTAAACTTTTCAATAATCGAAAAGAACATTTATGAATTGTAGGATTATGAAATATTCGTTTTCTTCAATTGTTTCACTTTGAAACTATCAACGAAAGAAAAGATATTTTCTGCTAATTTATTTAATAGAATACCACATATCACTAAAGTATTAGTATTAATCAGACACGTGCACTACGTCCAAAAACATGACGGAACAGTATGACCGCATCTAACGATGATGGAATTTTTTTTCTCATATTTCTGGCTCTGTAATGTTTTCAAATAATGATGCTTTATTTCTGAACACTTATCGATTTGTTATTATGATAATTTTTAATTAACATTGATTACGATTTGATTTATAAATTAAATAAATGAATATGAAATGAGATAATAAAATAAACGATAGCTCAGAAAATCTTTTTTCGTAACTTTTCAATGTTTGATGTACATTCTTTTTTTTTTTAAATTCCCAACAGTCTAGATATTAGTCAGAGTGACTGTTAGAGCTCAGATCGCGTTGGTGTGAGTGGTGCACATCTTTGGAATAAGAAAAAAGCGATAAATTTTAATGGATTTTTGAAATGAGAAATCATGAAATACTACTCTATCATTGAAACATTTCTTCTATCGCGAGAAAAATAGGACAATAATGGGACTCATGAACTAAAGAAATCTGTTTCTGAAAGATTTTAATCATGATAAATGCTATTTATATATGAAGGATATTTCTCTTCTTTTTTTTGCAAGGTTGTTAAAATAATATAAATAAAACAAGCATGAAGCGATAAAAATCATTGTAATTTTTTTAATTATAAATAAAAATATATTGTTTTAAATAAGAAAGTTATTTTAATTGTTTGTCTTCATTTGCAGGAAAAACACAATAAGATGAAGTATCTACAATTCTTCTAACTACGGTTATCGTTAATTTTGTTTTTTCAATTTAAAATACAAGAAATGTACTAAGCCAGGAAAGAAAAGTTTGATATTCAAATATTAGAGTTTTATTATATAGAAAAGCATTTCCTTTCATTGATCTATGCCTTTTTTGATTTCATACAGACTGAATAATTAAGTTGATTTTGGTACATTTTAATCACTTGATAGGATTTCATTTTTAGTTCTACATTACTATGTATAAAGAAAATAGAAATAATTTAAAATATTTATATTAAATTTATTTTTCATATAATTGTCAAAAGATGGTAGACTAATTCTTCAAACACAAACAATAGAAAGAAATAAATATACAAATTACATTTCTATTAATCAATCAGTAATCATATGAATTTAAAATTTGCATGATTTCAATAGCAAAAGAAAAAAAGAAAAATTAAAAAACTTTATAAAGTATCATTTTTATCCAGTGCTTGCGCTAGCACACAAACTAAATGTTGCATTCCAATTTGTGCCACTAGGACAATAACAGGTGCCACCTGTACATATTCCCCCACTGCAACTCGAACTACTACAAAGTAATCCAGCACCAGCAGCATTTAAACATGTTGTCGTGTTTACCGGATAAGTAGGCCATGATGTACAAGATTCACCATATAATACTCGATCTTTACATGTAGTACCATCCTATAAGTATTTCATATTATTTCAATAAAATTCAACAGAAAAAAAAAAATTCTTAATTAACATACCCAATATTTAGTTGTTGCACATTCACATGTTGTGCTGAGTGGACAAGAAACTAAATTGTAATCTGCACATTGATATGTTGCATTACATACATCACTTGCATTTACTCCCCAAGATGGTGTGCCTTTATTTCGACAATATGATCCATTCCACCATTGTAATTGTGTACAATTACTAGATAGATATTAAATGAAAAGAATATTTTTTGTCGTTGTTGATTTTATGTATTGAAATATAAAAAAAAAACCTTGTCAGCGTATTTCCTTTGGAGCTGACATATGGAATTGACATGTGTTCTTTAGCCTCATTATACTAATACAAAATAGATCAAGTGAATAATCTCTAGCAGACTACAATTTTTCTTCAAGATAATCAATCACCAGAGAAACGATTCGTCTTATTTATATTTTTGCATTTCAACCAAAAAGTTTTTCTATTTTTTTAGTTGCCTTGTTGCTATTCACTCGTTATTTTACGTTTTCGTATTCGACTTTTCTTAATATAACTGGCAAATAAGCCTGTTATACATATCTATATATCTATGACAGATCTCAAATAGAGTACTGCACGAGTACAATTTTTCGTATCTGTAAACAGGTGCGAATACTCGACCCTCAGGTTGCAGTACTCTAGTCTTAACGCATTATTATATATCTCGATAAACTCACAAACACTGATATTGATTATATCCTAAAGTTAAAGCTTGATCAGTTCATGGATATATGAACGTATTCTAATCATTCAAATTTCGAGGAGGATTTTTAAATATTCTAGAATTCTTTCGAAGAGTCAATGTCTTATGGCGAATGCTGTTCAGTGTCTTTTGTCTTTCATTAAAAAACTTTAAGAAAAAGATCTGACGTTTGTTGTCCTCGGTTGCTGAGGTCTGTAATGAGGAGGAAAGTCGCAAAACTTTGACTTAAAACTTACACACAAAAATATATGTGAGTTCTACAAAAGAAAAAAGAAATACATACCACCATCCAGATCCCGTAAGTGATGAAATACTATCGTTCATACATTGTAAATTTGCTGTTTTATCACATTCATTAGTTGTACAATTCGAAACAAGTGTACAAGATTCATGATACTAAAAAAAAAATAGAAGAAAATGAAAATTAATTAATTAATTCATTCATTCATTCTTACTTTTTTTGAAATAAGACATGCTTGAACACATTCTTCCCAATAAGATGTAGTATTACAAAGACATTGTAACGCTACTGGTGATGTTGTACCATATCGACAAATTAAATTAACTGGACTAAAATCTCGACATTGATAAGTATTTGAACATGGATCTGCATAATTTCTTTTAGGTTGACATCGATTACCATCCCAATAATCTGTATAGTAACATCCACATGTACCATTATTACATTTTAAATAATTAAAATCTTCACATTCAAGATCACCAAAACATGATGATTGACCATTTGTTAATTTCGGTATACATGTATATGATCGATTTGTAACATATAATGAATCCCAAATATAAGTTGTATTATAACAATCACATTTTTGAAACATACTACCACCAAGACCTTGACATTGTAAACCACGATTATCATCACAAACATATGATGATGGACATGTTGTATTATACCATTGTTTAGATATACATGTATTATTCCAAAAATGATCTTTATCACAATCACATGTACCTATTGATTGTGTATAATTACTACAAAATAGACCATTCGCTTCAATACAATGTATATTACTTGAACATTCACCACCAATTGATAATTTTGTTGTACATGTTGTACCATCCCAATATGACCATGAACTATTACATTGACATATACCAGACGTATTTGCTCCACCATAATATGATAAATTACAAAAAAGATTTTGTGATGAACTACATACTAAAGAAACTGTACAATTTTCCATATAACCCGCAGCAGATTTACAATAACCCATAACACCATTACTATTAATAGATGAATCATAATTTGTACCTGATGGACATAAACATAGGTTACTTAAACATGCTAAATTAATTCGATAATCACATTGAGATGTTGATGTACATGATTCATTATATAAATGATGTGGTACACAAATACCATTACCTAATGAAGCACTACCATTATAAAATTCATGTGTGGAACATTGACATACACCTATATAAAAAAAACCGGTGTTAGTACAGTCTTTGCGAGATTAAAATATGAAATACAATGTAACTGTTATTGCTAACTACAAGGAAATTGTTTTTTTTTTCTATCTATTTTTGGGTATGTTTCATCAGGATCGATTTACTTAATCTTTCAAAAGTTCAATAAATAAATAATGGGTGATAGGAAAGCTTTTAGATAAGATGTTTGTTCATTTTTGATCTACTAGAAAGTATTTCCGAGGAGTTAGAAACAGAATTTTGTATTCTTTCCGAACATGAGCTTGGAAATTTTATTCGAGAGTATTATTGATATATGGTCTGTGATATTTTCATGGTAATATTTGTCATGGTCTACGGGGAAAGAAAGGTTCAAAATTTTTACTCCTATACTTCAAGATTCTTTTTAGATCGTATTTCACAATAAAAACAATATAATATTTCATTTCTATCGAACTTACCATATTCACTTCCATAAGGATTCGTATATCGAGTACAAACAAGACGTTGACCTAGAGGACCTGTATCATCACACCAATTATTATCATATGGATAACAATATCGATTAACAGTTCGTTTATATTCACATGTACCAGATTTTGAATCTCCATTCCAAAACATAGATGAATTACATTGACAAAGTTGTATTGTTAAATTACAAAATAAATATCGACTTGTATCACAATTAGCATCTAGAAGACATGATGTATTATATAAACTTTGATAAACACACTAAAATAAAATAAATAGATAAGAATATAATTTAATATTAATATACTTAACAATATATCCATTCCACGACATAGATGTTTTACATTGACATTGAGATTCAATAGCTCCATTACTAGAACAAAAAAAGAAATTAATAAAAATTATATAATAATATATAAATTCGTTTGGTTATTTTTACGTCAGTGGAACATTTTGACATTGTAAACTTGCAAATGCATCACACATAGAATCATTAACACATGTTCGATTGACCATTCGTCTTCGTTCACATATACTATATGAATTACTCCAAAAATGTGAATAAGCACAACCACAACGATAATTATTACAAATTAAACTAAGATCACGACGACAATCTGTATTTGATTTACATGGACCTCCATCCATTTCTTTTTTTAATGTAACAATTGCAGTAAATAAAGCAAATGCTGTAAATACAATTATAGTCAATGAAACAAAGACTAATAAAAGCCATTGTGGAATATTAAGATCTCGCATCCAAAATGATACTGGTTTTTGTTTATCAAGAACATCATATTCTGAAACAAGCACATGTGATGCATCAGTATTTTTAACAATATGTTCACGGAGAAGTGTATCAGGGTCCTTTAAAAAGAAGAAACTCATATTTTTTCAAAGCAAATCTTTTCTACAAACTCGTTCTTTGATCGGTGCGATAGTTCTACGTTTCTTAGCTCCAAACATTTGATATTTTTCGTTTTTTGTTGTAAGAATAAAATGTGATGTTTTTTGTTGGCTAACGACAACAATAATGCAAATTTAATTTTAATTGCACTAAATAAGAACTTTATAGATTCTTCATGTAAAACAACTGACTTTTTTTTTTCATCATTTTATGTATACAAAACTACAACAGAATAAAACATTTTCACTTAAATAAACAACTACAGCCATACAATTTTTTTTCGACTAAAGTTATTCTTTCATATTACATAAATCGAAATGAATGTGATGAATCCGAATTAATTCTTCAAGATCTTATTTTGCAAATAAAATGTTTGTAATATCTGCACAAGAATTGAAGAGGCGTGAATGTGATGGTAACAACACAAAAATAGAAACAATTAGCGATCTCCGATTTTTAGAAATTCAAAGAGGAGAACTTCGAACGTCTTTTTGTTTGATACTATATAAAACAAAATTATTTTAAAACTCATTATCTTCGCAAAAAAAAAAAACACTTTAAAAAATGCATGAAAACAGTGTTCTGTTTCGATATAATTTAGATTTTGACAAATGTTTCTGACAGATAAACTTCAGATCTATAGTTCAATGCATAAACCAGATGCTAATCTTCTCATATCTTAATGTTGCGCAAACTCAATCACGTATCTATTCGGTCAAATTGTATAGAATTCTTTTGATTTTTTAGCTAATTTTCTGACTTTTTATTATAAGTTTTCATAAAATAAAATATCGTCGAATATTTTGTGTAAAGATTGTGAGTTTTAAAATAATTTTGTCTTATATAGTATCAAATCAAAAAACGTCTGGAGTTCTCCTCCCTCGAATTCTAAAAATCTTAGGGCTATAACTATTGTCATTGTCGATTTGTTGAGCTTACAATCATCCGTGTTTAATTTAAGTGCGAACATTAGTAAATATTCTATTTTTATCTATCACAAGTTATTGACTTGGAACAATTAATATCTATGTTATAAGGTTTAACTATGTTGATTAATGCCATAATAATACAACAGAATTTTAAAAATATGTTTGACGAGAAATAAATTAAAGGCCATGTATGACATAATTGTCAACTCGTTTATGAGTGTCCATGATTTTGACAGTAGCTATCAAGAGTTTTCGCTATCAAGTAAAAAGTATCTAAACTTTAATTCTTGAGTCGTATGTTTTGTCTACAAATAGAACGCAATGAATCTTAAACGCAAGTTGATCACCGTTCATACGAAGGAGCTATAGAAGAACAATATAGAATTTTTATTCAAATGAGAATATTTCAACACTAGCAATAAATCTCATAATGTTTCACCCTTCACTCGAGAGCTCAGTGCTCCCTATATTGCCGATAAAAAGTTTCATATTAAACGAATGTAGTTGACTTGATTTATGAAATTATCTTTGGATATTGTTAGGAAGAAGTTCTTTCTGTTTCGTTTCAGATAATGGAAACATCACAGCAGATTGAAGTGTTTTATCTATGATACAGTAAAGACATGTGAAGCTTTATTTAGCGATAAAAGGATGAATATTAACCTTTTAAAATAATGGCGAATCAAAGAAGTATCGGAAATGCTCTTTTTGAGCTTCAAGGATAAAAATAACGCTTTTGTTCTAAATCCGATGCGTAAAAGTCGATCGACCTTGAGTTTGTCTTTGCGATCAACGTTTACCAAGCTGTGCTTATGGAAAAAACAAAAATGACAGGTCAAAAGATTCATCATTTAGGTAACTTTGCCTCGATAGCGAGGTTTTTGACGATTACTGTATGCTTACGATGGAACTACCTGAACTGTAACTCCCTGTTTGAGTTCATATTCGAGATACAAGGATGTTTCAGTAAGACTAGAAAATGCTTGAAAAGATTCGTGCCCATGGTTCTCTGAAACCGAGTTATGACCGTTTTATTAAATTTTAAACCTGTTTTTAAATATTTACTAGCAAATCTAACAAAGGAATTTCAATCTGATGTTTTATAGTTAGGTTTAATAACACTTAGAATATCTTGAATGTTTCAGCCAAAAAGGACGTTCCTTTGTCGAGATATTGAATTTTCAAGTAAATTTGATCTTTGTGCCATATCTGTAGCAAGCGACTAGTTGTTGGAAATTTAATATCTCAAAAAATAAAGATTTTTTTCGGCTGAAAATTTCAGGACATTCTAAGGATGATTAGAACTATCTACGGATAAAACTACAGGTCGAAATTCCCTTATTTTATTTCCCGTTAAATATCTAAAAATGGATCGAAGATTCAATAAAACGATCGTAACTTGGTTCTAGAGGCCCTTGGTCACGACCCCTTTTAGAAATTTTCTAGTCTTATCGAAACCTTCTTATAAATCCAATGAGAGGCTACCAGAATTTATTTAGACCGCCTGATTTATCTGAATTTATCTATTGATAGTATATAATAGATTTTATCTGTATCAAAAGAGAACTATACTTCTGAAGAGTAATCCTTCACCTTCAGCTAGGTACCTGCCTTTATTCTAGTTTCTTTCGTTTGATGGTAAAATATATGATAAGATTTACAGCACAATCCCGGAAACTGCTGAGTCTAATATAAGTTCAAAGGATGGACTACATTTGGTGTAGTTCCTCTTGTTAGTAAAGAATCAAATAAACTTGTTTTCAGCAATATTTGCATATCCATTTCCATATATATGTTTCTTGAAAAATGAATCATTCATGAGTCATGTAAAAAGATGAAATCAATTGATTTTAAAATTTAACATTACTGTTCATATTATTCTTGGTCATGTCATTGCTTAGTTCATTAATTTTTGATGAATAACTCAAGCGGAATGTAACAATTCATACATAAACATTTCTTCTTATTCTTTTTCCTTGTCAAACAATCAATTATTATTCATGCGAAATTTTATCATATTTATTAATTACGAAATATCGACAATGATTCATTTGTTTTTCTTCTAATGTTTTATCAAACATATCTTTTTTTTTTTGACGATTAAAATGATAATTTATATTTATTTAAATACTTTTTTTTTGTTTTTCTGTGGCTCGTGAATACAAATAATATATATTACGAAAAAAAGAAAAGAAAAGAAAAAAACAAACACAAGACGATTTGTACAGAAATGAACGTTGTGCATGAACATCTCATTTGACTAGATGGCACTCGTTTTTTTTTTTTTTTTTTGAAGAAACAAAAAAAAAGAAAAATTCAATAAATATAATAATAAGACACAAATAACAACATCAATAAAAATAATGATAGTCATATTAATTTTGTTTTTTTTTTCCTATTTTTTGATCATTATGGAATGAATGAAAAAACAACACAAAAACAAAATCTGTTCGTACGGAATGTCAAACGAGAAACAAAAAAACAAAAACAAAATACGAAATTTTAATTTTCAAAGCTAGTTTTGTACATCTTTTGAGCATTGCACATTCTCGACCTCGACCATAAGAAAAGAAAGAAAAGAAAGAAAAAAAGAAGAAGAAGAAGAAGATAAAGAAGACTAAAATCCAACCGACGATGAAACTACGAATAACATATACAAAACAACACAATTATACTGTTCTTACTTAATCAATTGTTCAATTAAATGTCGAGGTAACAATTGATTATTAATATTCTCTTTTAATTTCGATGATTTAATTAATTTCAAACAAATTTCACGTAAAGACGAACATATCTTACAACAATGTTTAAGAATCATTGTACTTTGTGCACTTGTTGATGATACAGCTGGATAAATTAATACATTTTTTGGTATACAACGAAATGCAATGCCCATTGATTGATTATTAATTATATATGAAAGTGTTCGTGCATCAGCATCAAATTCTAAACCAATTAAAATAGGTCGAAGTAATTCCATTGATTGAGATAAATATGAATATGATATTCCATTATGCCATAATAAACCATGATGTGATAGTGCCCAACCATGTTGATCAATTCCAATTAGATTTGTAAATGTAGATGAAAACATTTGTTGTTCATTAGCTTAAATAACAAAATAAATAGATATATATATATATATAATCAAAGTAATTATTTTAACTAATATTATCTATTATTCTTATTGTCAAGAACTTATCAACTTACTTGCAATGCCAAACATAATTGATGTTCCATAAACAGCAGGCATATAGATTTCCCAATAATGTTTACCATTCAATGGTAATGGTCTATCAGCAAGTATAACTTGTGTTGATGAACTTGTTCTTGGATGAAATAATATTTGTTTATTATTATCAAGTAATATTGTTGTAGAATGAATTTTATTTGTTTGAGACCATTTCCAATGACTATGAAGACAATTTTTAGTTTTTAAATAATGTTCACTTTTAGGATGACACATTAAACTTGTTGATGACCAACATAATGGTGGTAGAATAGAAGTTGATAAAGATTGAATCGTACTTCTATTACTACCACCATTATTAACATTCCGATGTTTCTGATTCTGGTCGATGATGTTACTTCTTCTTCTTCTTTTTCTTTTTCTTTTTCTTCTTTTTTCTAACCATTGACGTCGTTGGCAAGATTTTTTCTTTCCATCATCGATTTTTCCCACTAACATCGTCTGTTCTTCTTCTTTTTTACTCATATTACGTCTCGTAGAGTTGGTTCAACAGGAAATGTGCGTGTTAGACGACTGCGACGAGATTGGGGATTTTTTTTCTCCTGCAGGGAACAAGCACGCGTCGCTCAATTAACAGAAAAGGGAGAGCAAGATAAAAATGAAAAAAAAAATGGATAGAACGAGAGAGACAGACATAGAGAGAGAGAGAGTTGACAAATGACATTAATGAATGCTCAGCACGATATGATTTCTCTTCGACATCTGCTAAAGAGAAAAAAAAGGAAAAAAAAAGAAAAGATGCCATCTGTATTTGTATTCTTTTTTTCTTCCCTTCTTCATCTATCAGTAATACAAGTCTCACATATATATCAATAATGTAGTGTCATGTTGTCGTATACGTTCTCTTTCTTTGTCCTAGTAGTGTCGAATTGTTAATGAAAAAGATAACAGTATTAAGACTCCTGAGGCGTTGTCCTGGTATGCCCTATTCAACTATCCATTTTATGTGTATTTTTCATTTGACACATACTTCTATGAACATGTTTCGTCTTCAAAAATCGATGGTGCGCGTCAGATTGAAGATAGAGACATAAGGCAATTAAGACAATCCACGTATATATATATATATATATATAGAACAACAGCTGGTGCAGTTTCCCTCATCATAATGTTTTTCATGAGACCGTCATGTGCATGTTTTTGTTCAATTGATGAGTGGCGACACGCGACAAAGCATCTTTTGAAGATTGACGCGCCTTGTGAACTCGATGATCAATCAAAAAGAGAAAGGAAGTCGATTTCAATTCTTTAATGCATGTGTGTATATATACGACAGTGAATTTGTTAAATGAACAGTGAAGAGTGTAATAAAGAATGAGAGACAAAGAATGATAGGAAATAGGGAGTATATGTACGTATGGCCATCTGTCGTCGTTTGCACGAAATTTGAAACAAAAGAATATATACAAGTGGATAGATGTTGATGATGAAGTCAATCAAGCGTCCTATTAATCCTCGATAACGAAAATGAATGGTACCATATATAGCAGTTGTCCACTCGTAGGGTGCCATTTGTGCTGTTCAATTTTCAATCATCGCTTGATTGATTTTCTTTTTTTTTGCTCATAGTTTGTTGATTCTTATCTTTACAGCTTATACAGAGACATGCTGAGAATGACAGGAAGACTATTATGATTTAAATCGAATGATAATTATATATGATATATAAAAAAAAATATATAAAATAAAATCTGATATGTATAATAAATCGAATGGAACGATTTTTTTTCTGTTTATAATTGATTTTCATTGAAGCTTTTCATCAATTAGAAGGACAGAATAGTGCAAACAATGATGTCTACATCAATTATCGATTGTCGTTATGATAGATTACTAGCAGATTATCGATTATAGAATAGCAAAGGCGTATGGATATGTTGAAATGTATTATTTGCGTAACATACTCAATGATATTTTAAGAGAATTTTGATAGTTCTAATGAAAAATTTTCATATTAGTTGATGATTTCCATTGTGTATATCACTCAACAATCTAAATAAACGAATGAGGATATTAACACGAAGACTATATATTTTAATCGATTGGAACCAAGAGCGTATCATATAAAACATAAATCCTGTATTTTTCTATAAGATAAAAAGATACATTTATCATTAATGTATTTTCATTTATGCATCTACATGACATGTACGAAGAAAATAAACTTGAAAAATGATGAAACTTGAGAGTTATTCGTAAATCTAGATTACTAATATATCATTCACGAAGAAAAACTAAAGAAATGGTTTGACTTACATCGAAAGATACAGAATGTCCCATAATAACTGATGATAAATTGCCAATGATATTTTTCTTACTTTTTTCCTTGACATAGAAAGACGGATTTTTTTTTAATGACATATATGTCTAACCAAGAACCTGCTTAAGTTCTCTAGCTTAAGCTACGTACTGAAATGCATGATTTTTCGTATTTTATTTTTGTTACTTATCTATTTCTTGAATAGATATATTTATAAATACCTGATGAAAAGAAATTTCACATGAAAATTATCGTGTAAAAATGTTAATTATAATAAAACTCAATGTGTTATAAACATGCTCTTCATTGTTTTCTGTGTTCGGCTGTGATTGATAAAATATTTTGTCTAGGTTCGAAAGTTTCCTTCATTGTCTTTGCAATGTATTTTTCTAATTATAACGATGTATCAAATACTCTTCCATGAATGCTTTCTTTCAGCACGTGTCATTAAAGAGCTGCAGGTCCATATTTTTGTGGGCTTGAGAAAAGTTAAACTTCTGAACCTAGACCGTTCGGATGCAGACCCGAGTTTTTTCTACAAACATCTGGCGCTCTCTGTGTACATGCAAAGTGAGGGATCAAGGTTTTAGTTATTTATTGGATATTATAGGAAAAAAAAGTCAACACATAGTTATTTCTTGTTGCTCACTTTCTCATTACTCGGTGTTCAAATAAATTAAAGGTCTTTGCTGAATTGAAAAGACCATTATGTTACTAAAAAGAAAAAGGAAATTGAATAGTTAATTGATAAACGAAATTTGTCATTGAAAACCATCAAATCAACAGTAACATCAAAGTCTTCAGCTGTATAGCATAGTTTTAGTTGTATTTATGGAAACGAGATCGAACAAGAATATGTTCGGTGCAATCAATATGAAGATTTACTCATTTATAAATCATCTTCTGGTACTAGTTCATTATCTAAGCATTTTCGTAGTCGTTAAAATAAAAAAAGACAGTTTCTAATGTTTCAGTAAGTATCAATCAGTTTTATGCATCTTCAAACAATGAACCAGTTATTCCAGATCGAGTTCAACAGAAAATTAAAATTGTTTGTTTCGAATTTACATCACTTGACTGTCGACCATTGGAAATATTTAAGAATATCAGTTTTAAAAATCTTGCACAAAAGATTTTTAATGTTGGCCTATGTTTACCTAAAGTGAACTGCGAGTCCATATTTTTGTGGACTGGACTCAAATCCGAATATGGAAGGACCCGCAGTTCTCTGTATGTCGCATATTTTCAATTCTCTTTATACATCATTCAATAGAACATCTCTATTTACTGGCTCTATATGTTTATGAAATAATTGTGTTACGAACCTTGAAATATCGGTAATAATATCGTTTGTCGGCAGCATGCTGTCGAAAAATATTCATGACGAAGGACTAGCGTTCAAAAGCACCAGTCTACTTTTTCTTTATCTAACCAAGTAGATACAAGAGCAAAATAATAAATAGTCTACTCATAAAGAATGGAAAAACATATAAGAAACAAACTAATCAGAATATTTAGTGAGAAGAAAAAGACTAAAGGCTAGCATCGAGAAGGATTGAGTTGTACTGTTTTCAATTCGAATCTTTTCTTCTTTGCGACTAAAAGCAAGAGCTCTTGGACGTGTTCGATCTCTTCCATCTTGAATCGATCCACAAGGGCTTCAAGACACGATTGCATGAGACGTGCTTGTTTTCCATGCACATTCTTCTTGAAACACATGAATGAAATGCCATATGTTCGACTATTTCTTGTCGATGCGATGAGAAAATCTGTTGTGCCGTCCTCAGTGAATCATATTCGAATATCGCTAGGGAGACAGAAAGAAAAAGAATCTTACATTCGTTACTATTGTTTGTTCGTATTTTGACATTGGCTACATTTCACAAGTCTAATGACACGGTTTCCATCCAGAAATCTTTGACATAATCGATTAGATCATCGATAGATGGTGAATGATTGTCGACAAGATACTTAAAAGGAGGCTCCACTTTGTTGCGAGACAGAAAAGGTACTATCAATTTTTGACATGCATAGCGGACCTCTTCATCATACATGTAGACAGTTCGAGATTTTGAAGCTTCCGATGAATACTTTACGTATAATGGAAGAAGCATCCAATATGTCAAGGCATAGGAAAATAGAAGAATTTCAAAGGGAATCGCAAGAGCAGGTTGAGACCAGAAAGAAAAGAACATATATCGTTCTGTTTGACTGTTAACATATAGAAGTTCATAATGCAGACGAAAAATACCTCGTCGATCATTTCAGTTGTCGACGAATTCCTTGGCAACAAAATATCTATCGTCAGTATGTCTATCGATAATACGTTTGTCGATGAAATATCGTCGATAATATGTCTGTCAACAAACTGTCTTGTCGGCGAATGGTATGCAATTCGAAATGCTAATACTTCATGTTTTATTTTTATTTTTTTTTGAGACACTTTAAATTCAATACAAAATATGAAACAATCTTTTCCGTATTCGTAACTGATCGACATTTAAGATAAAATTTGTTCTTTAAATTTGAATAATTCTAGATATTAATGCATTCCTGTATTGCTAAAAAAAAAAACTTAGCCACCATGTCGTGATTGACTAAGTTTTCAAAATAATACAAAAACTCAGTCCAAAAATTCATTGAATTCAATCTTGTTCATGCATTTCCGTATTAGTTTAAACTAGAGAACTGGAATTTTCGTAAATTAATGAGTTTATTATTCTCAACTATTATGGGAAACCCTTTATTTTCGTTAGTTTTAATATAATATCACAATTTTCCTCCATTTTAAACACATACTTACTCTTTATATAATTTTATTTCTAGTTTTTAAACGATCATAGTTTACCATCTAATAACATCTCCTATTGTTTTATATTTTGTGTATATATCCTCTCTTATACGAGTATCTGGCGTACATAGGTCATATATATATCCAGTTATTTATATTCTCCAAATGCATATATTTATAAAACAAAACCGCAATGAAAAAAAAAACAAAAGGCGAACAAAAGTTAAAAGAAGAGAAAAAACGAAGATCATACATGCACCTAACATAGTGTCTTCTTTTTTTTTTCTTTCCATACTAAAATATATATGCAAGATACGTATTTAACAAAAAGCAA